CCAATCCAATCGGGATATTGTACCCCGTCCTCATCAACAAGATACTATGGCTCCAATCTAAGGGACTTCACTTAATGAACCCTCTTACCTTCTACGGGTCTAAGGTTGAGAAAGACTTCCAAGAATTCATTGATGAATTCTACAAGATACTTCTGGCTATGGGGTTTTCCACAAGTGAAAAGGCCGAGCGGGTCACTTGTAAACTCAAGGATGTGGCTCAAGCATGGTTTGTGCAATGGAGAGATAATAGGTCGTTGTGTGGTGGTCCTTTTACTTTGGAGAACTTCAAGAAGACTTTTTTTGATCGGTTATTTGGTAGGGAAATGAGGGAAGCTAAAGTGGTGAAGTTCATCAACCTTCACCAAGGAGGTACGAGGGCTCATGAATACTCTTTTAAATTCACTAAATTGTCGAAATATGCTCCTTCTTTGATTCTGATCCTACAGATGAAATGAGTGGCTTTGTTACGGGGGTGTCAGATTGTTTGCAAAAAGAGTGTAATTCAGCCATGTTAGCTAATATGGAACAAGCTTCGGTTAATTCTCCACCCTTGACAGATGGATATATGAGGGTTTCCCTTATCCAATTGGCTCAAGCCACCATTGTTCAAGCCCAAGTTATGATGGCCCAAGCCAGCCGAGATCTTGTAGCCCGTCCTCATCAACAAGATACGATGGCTCCAATCTTAGGGACTTCACATAATGAACCCTCTTACCTTCTACGGGTCTATGGTTGAGAAAGACTTCCAAGAATTCATCGATGAAGTCTATAAGATACTTCTGGCTATGGGGTTTTCCACAAGTGAAAAGGCTGAGTGGATCACTTATCAACTTAAGGATGTGGCTAAAGCATGGTTTGTGCAATGGAGAGATAATAGGTCGTTGTGTGGTTGTCCTTTTACTTGGGAGATCCTTAAGAAGACTTTTCTTGACCGGTTATTTCCTAGGGAAATGAGGGAAGCTAAAGTGGTGAAGTTCATCAACCTTCACCAAGGAGGTATGAGTGTTCATTAATACTCATTGAAATTCACTAAATTTTCGAAATATGCTCCTTCTTTGGTTTCTGATCCTAGAGATGAAATGAGTTGCTTTGTTACGGGGGTGTCGGATATTATGCAAAAGGAGTGTAATTCGGCCATGTTACATGAAAACATTAACATTTCTCATATTATGGTACATGAAGAGTATACGGCTAGGAGGAAGAGTAGAGATGCTAAGAGGTCAATATATTTTGATGGAGGTTCTTCAAAGAATAGGCTTGATATACATGACAAGCCTAGGTTTAAGAAGCGGCTTTCAAGTCAAGTTCCTTCCAAGTTCCCAAAGGCTAGTGGTGATAGGGTGTATAACCCTAAGTTCAAGAAGGGAAAAGGTAATAATTCACTAACCGAGAAGCCAACTTATGGAAAGTGTGGCAAGAATCACTATGGTGACATCCTTAAGGAGACGAACAATTGTTTTGGTTGTGGTAAAAGCAGTCACAAAGTTATGGATCGCCCTAATATTAGGGGTCAAGACAAGGGTTGGGTCAAGCCCAAGAAAGTGGTTCAAATGTAGCTCCAAATAAGAACTGCACCCGTGCTCTACACACTAGGGGTTAGCAAGAGACTTCTCCTGAAATGGTGACCAGTATGTTGAAAGTTTTCTCTTTTAATGTACATGCCTTACTTTATCTCGGTGCTACTTTATCCTTTGTTACTCCACTAGTAGCCAAAAAGTTTGATATTTTATCCAATATTTTACATGAAGCTTTTACAATGTCTACTTCGGTGGGTGAGTCGATTGTTGCAAAAAGGGTGTATACAAATTGTCCTATAATGTTGCACAATAGAGTTTCTTATGTTGAACTATATGCTTGATTTTGATGTTATATTGGGTATGGATTGGTTGTATTCTTGCTTTGCTTTCATTGTTTTTAGGACACGGGTGGTGAGGTTTAACTTTCCAAATGAACCAGTTGTTTAGTGGAAGCGGGTAAACTCTATTCCTAGAGGTTGTATAAGCTTTTTTCTAAAAACATGCAAAATGATCTCTAAAGGTTATCTTTACCATATTCTAAGATTCCAATTCCTAGACTCCGAGATTCTTCTTATTGAGTCGGTCTCCGCAGTGAGGAAATTTCCAGAGGTTTTTCCTAATGATCTTCCTGGTATTCCTTCCGAACGGGAAATTGATTTTGGTATTAATTTTCTACCTGATACAAAATCCATTTGATTCTTCCTTATCGGATGGGAACGGTCGAATTAAAATAGTTGAAGGCTTAACTCAATGATTTACTAGACAAAGGCTTTATTAGAGCTAGTATTTCCCCATGGGTTGCTCTAGTTTTGTTTGAGAAGAAGAAATATGGGTCCTTAAGAATGTGTATTGATTACCGCAAAATCAATAAGGTCACAATAAAGAACAAGTATCCTCTCTCTCGGATTGATGACTTGTTTGACCAACTCCAAGAGGGCAAGTTACTTTCAAAAATTGACTTAAGGTTTGGGTATAACCAACTAAGGGTAAGAGGTGATAATATACCAAAGACGACATTTCAGACAAGATATGGGCATTATAAGTTCTTACTAATGTCTTTCTGTCTCATTAATGCTCCAACGACCTTTATTGACCTAATGAATAGTGTTTCAAAATTACCTAGATTCATTTTTCATTGTCTTTATTAATGACATCTTGGTACATTCAAAGAATAAGAGTAATCACATGGATCATTTGAGGGCAGTATTGCAAACCCTTAAAGAACATCAATTGTTCGCCAAGTATAGGAAATGTGAGTATTGGTCAAGGTCGGTGACATTTTTTGGTCATATCATCTCGATTGAGGGAGTTGAGGTTGATCCAAGGAAAATGGAGGCGATGAAAAATTGGCCTGGACCTTTGACTAAAACAGACATTAGGAGTTTCTTGGGTTTAGCGGGTTATTATCGGTGGTTCGTGGTTGGTTTTGCATCCATTGCATCTCTCTTGATTACTTTGACCCAAAAGAGTAAGAAATTTGAGTGGTCGAAGGCATGTTAGAAGAGTGTCAAATGTTAAAAGATAGGCTTACTTCCGCTCCGGTGTTGACCTTACCGGAGGGTACAAAGGGTTTTGTGGTGCACTGTGACGCATCCCAAGTGGGTTTGGGGTGTGTGCTTTTGCAACATGGGAGACTGATTTCATATGCCTATAGGCAACTTAAGGTACATGAGCAAAACTATTCAACTCATTACCTTGAGTTAGTGTTTGTGGTGTTTGCATTTATAATATGGATGCATTACTTGTATGGGGTTCATGTTGATGTCTTTACTGACCACAAGAGTATCTAAAACGTGTTTACCTAAAAGGAGTTGAATCTCTGACAAAGGAGGTGGTTAGAATTGTTGAAATATTATGACATGAGTGTCCTTTATCAGCCCGGCAAGGCTAATGTGGTTGCGGATGCCCTAAGTCGTATGAATATAGGTAGTTTATCTCACATTGATGAAACCAAGAAAGACCTAGTGAGGGGGTGAGATTATAAGATTCTTCGAATGGTTGTTTTATTGTTCATAATTACTCCGAGTCATCATTAGTAGTTGAGGTGAAGTCTAAACAACACCTTGACAAATCATTGATAAAGTTCAAAAAACGCGCCTTGGCAATCATAACGAGACATTCTCCATTAGGAGGATGGTATTTTATGGTGCCATGGAATACTTTATGTTCCCAATATAGATGGGTTGAGAGAACGGATCCTTGAGGAAGCCCATAGGTCATGGTACTCAATTCATCCATGTTCGACGAAAATGTACCACAATCTTAGGGAAATCTATTTGTGGGAATTATGAAGAAGGACATAGCGGAGTTTGTCGCTAAGTGTCTGAATTGCCAACAAGTAAAAGCCGAACATCAAAAGTTAGTTGGCTTACTACAAAAGATCCAAGGTCCTACTTGGAAGTGGGAAGACATCAATATGGATTTTGTGGTAGGTTTTCCTCCGACTCAAAGGCAATATGACTCTATATGGGTGGTTGTGGATAGGTTGACCAAGTCCGCTCGCTGTATTCCCATCAAGTCTACTTATTCAGAAGAAGATTATGCTAGGATATTCATAGATGAGATTGTGTGTTGACACTATTCTGTTATCCATCATATCGACTCGGGGTGCACAATTTACATCTAGGTTTTGGAGGTTTTTCAAAAAAGGGTTGGACACTAAGGTGAAGTTAAGTACCGCTTTTCATCCCCTAATGTATGGTCAAACGGAACGCACTATTCAAACCCTTGTGGATATGCTTAGGGCTTGTATCATTGATTTCAAGGGAAATTGGGATAAAAATTTGCCTTTGGTAGAGATTGCTTATAATAATAGTTTTCATTCATCCATTTCCGTGGCCTCTATGAAGCCTTGTATAGTAGGAGGTGTAGGTCTCCTATTGGATGGTTTGAAGTGGGATATCCTTACGTTCTTAGTCCCAATTTGGTTTGTAAGACTTTTGAGAAATTTCATACCATAAGGACCGGTTGCAAATGGCTTATAGTCGGTAAAAGTCTTATGTCGATCATAAGAGAAGGGACTTAGAGTTTCAAGAAAGGGATAAGGTGTATTTGAAAATTTCACCTATGAAGGGTATGGTTAGATTTTGCAAGAGATGGAAGTTGATTCCTCGTTATGTGGGTCCCTATGAAATCTTGCAATGATTTGTGAGGTTTCCTATGAATTGAAACTTCCTAGTGAATTGGATTCGGTTCATCCGGTTTTCCATGTTTCCATTATTAAAAAGTGTATTAGTGATCCCGAGTCTATTCTTCCTATGAGGGTCATGTTGTCAAGGACAACCTCTCGTATGAGGAAGTTCTGGTTCTATTCCTTGATAGGCAAGTCAAAAAGTTAAGGAATAAAGAGGTGGTTTCCATAAAAATCTTATAGAAAAATCACATAGTTGAGGTTGCAACATGGGAGGCCGAGGGTGATATGAAGTCCCGTTACCCTCATATTTTTGATAATTAAGGTTAGTCATTCTTTTAATAATATAAATATGACTACAAATTGAAGATTCTTGATATTTAGTGATGTCTTGCAAAAATGTGCATTTTGAATCACATTACAGTGAATTACAATGGATTTCATGCCTAAAACATGAATTTTTGTCTTTTGGTTTGTTTGAGTTATGTTGTACATATTAAAATAGTGAGTATTATGAAATAATATATATAGCATGTTGATAGGTTATCTTCATTAGTCTTTAGCTTTTGTATCTCATTATCCATACTATCTACTTTAGTACAAAGTGTAGTAATGGCTTTGAGTAGCTGTTCAATTGTATCTTCATCTTTATTCTCAGTTTGAGTAGCTTTTTCTTGATAAGTAGTCTGCAACACCATTCTTATTAGTCTTTATCACTTCAATTGTAAATGTAAAGTTCAATATATTTAATACCAATCTTCTAATTTCTTTCGTTGTTACTGAATCTTGTATTTTTCTGGTTAACCACCATTTTACTTGTGTATTATCTGTTCTTACAATAAATTTGTTATATACAATATATGGCTTAAATGCTAATAAACATTTACCAATGTTGGGGGATGCGAAATTCATCATAAAGTAAGATATATATTTTATAAAGGAAAATATATTTTATGTAGTGTGAAATACAGTTTATCATAAAGTTCTTTTCATAACTGTTCTAATCTAAATATTTCTTTAATATTATTTATTATATATTCTTTGTATAACATATCTTGGGTTCTTTGGTACATGTATAAATTTTCTTGCATCAATTGTTTTAATAATCTTATATTTTCCATAGTTTCTATCAAATATTCTAAATAGTCATAGTTCATTTTAATTTGAATCTATTTCTAAATCGTTTATATCTATTCTTTCTATATCTAATTTTTGTAAATATATTTCATACCATTCTTGATTTAATATATCTTCTATATCATGATTCAATATTATTTCCCATATAATTCTTTTTATGTCAACAATTTTTATATCTTTAAGTATATATAAGATCAAAATTTTATAGCTTTTATTTCATCATACATTGTAATCATGTTTATTTATTTATGCAGATTTGTTTTCAATTATTCCTTCCTATCATATCATAATTCAATTAAATTCACGTTAGACTATTATATGCTAGAGTATTTGTTATCATGTTTTGCGGTCACTACTAGCATCGTACTTTAGCGGATAATTACTGCTTATCAGCGCCTCAACCTTCTGTACTCCCCTAAAAGCATCCCTCGCCTACCGGTTTCCACTGTGGGATAGCATAGTCTAGCAGTTTTCTCCCTATTTCCCGTTTACTAGCAAACTAGAATTCATGATTCAAATATTTCTAGTATATAATAACTAACATAAATTTAATCAATCATATATATGATATTCAGTAATATATGAAATTAGTTCTGCATAATTGTTAAACAATATACCTTTGTTTCTTGATTTTCCATGCTATCTAAAATATCTGACTTGATTTTGGATTTCTCCATTTTTTAACTTATTTTTTTTATCTTTTTTGGAGAGAGGGGTTTTTGAAAGTGTTTTTATTAACTTAAGCTTTAGTTTGGCATTTCCTGCCTCTCATTTAAAATTTTGCAATCTATATATACTAAATTGTGAACCTGCATATAAGTGCGCCTACTGTATACTTAATGACTTTTTAAACAGAACTTTACAAATGGCCGGCTATACACATTTTCCTTTAAAAAAGTAAAAGCTATTAACAGTACAAAGGAATCTTATCTCTTATTTTTACATTTTTTCAAAGATATCTATCCCTTTGTCTTCCAACTTTTTTGTCTATATCTTTCTTTATGTCTTTTTCTTCTATTGTCTTTGTCGACATTTTTCTTTGTCTACTATAACTCTTTTTCTTCATCCTTATCTTATTTTGTATTCTTATCTCTTCATCTTTATTCCAAATCAACATCTAGTATAACGTTATCTTCTCCATTGCATTTGGAACATCTGTGATCTTGGTATTTGTGTCCAATAAGTTTACAATATCCAATTAATAAGTCTTCTGAAATAAATTCATTCTTTAATGCTCGTGTTATTTGTTGTTCTTGTGGCTTTAGTAATGGTAAAATCCATCGCTGAACTTCATCCATATCTGCTCTTCTTAATTCCCTTGAGTTTGAATATATCATAACTTGATCCCTAACATAATAGATCCATATGGTATTTCCATTTAAATAATTATTTGCTAATTCTTGTATTATAACGACCCATTTTGGTTGTTTTGAGTGTAAAGCCTTGTGTTTAATAAAAAAAAAATTTGATGGATTCTAATTGGATTTAGGAGTATTCATAATTGTAATTATGAAATTAGCGGGGTAGTTTTAATATTTTATTTAGTTGGTGGTTAAAGAAGATAACTTTAAAATTAGTAGTGGATATATTTTAGCATATTTAAGACTACCAGTATAATAAGTAGGGTTAATATTATTGGATTATAAGAAAAATCGCTCACAACTCTTATTATTGAATTCTTGGCACTGTCGACGGGACAATCAGAAAAAGGCTAGAGGTAAAAAACATCATCTAGCATTATATTTTATTGGTTAAAATTAGGCGGTTGAGGGGTATTGATTCTTCTTAGTATTAGTGAAATATAATGAAATAAATAGACATATATTTTAATAATATTATAACTTTATAGTTTGTTATGAATGTATAATAATGATTGGATGAGGTAATTGCTATGATATGTTAATTGAAAAACAAGTGTCAATCAATTACAGTGTTTTACATTGTGATGATGGCAAAAATATATATATATATATATATATATATATTTATATATGTAATGTACGAGATGTATAGTTATTAGAAGTTTTGTTGAACAAATATAAACTTTAATGATAATTAAATAGTATTAATATGAAGTACGATTAATAATTGGCCAATGATCTGTAGATGGATGATAAATTTAGACAGTTTGTATAATGATAAAAATTGGGTTAGATGTGTTGCCACTGGTTTTCGAATCCAATGGCTTGATCTTGAATTTTACTACGTATTATCCTATTATAAATTGAATTTAGTATATCAATATAGGTAATTAAATTTTACGTGTATCGAATTATTTAAATATCATTAAAGTTATGTTAATTGAGGGAATTAAAATCTACCCTTAGATTTGAACTTTAGGAAATTGCTTATATAATTATGTGAGTTTTTGGGTATAGATTAAACATAGAATAAATTGAGTGTTTATAGACTCGCTAACTTACAAGTTATGCATATATACTTGATAGATTGGAGAGGTTTGGAGGCACTAAGGAAAGGAAAGACATTGGAGAAATAGTTTGCCTGACTTCGGTTCTTCGGTGGAGGTAGGTTATGGTTTATTTCTATGTGATAGATAAACTCTAAATAGTGATTGATTATGTATTGAGTGATATTCTAAAGTCTCCTATGTACTTAATTGTGTGGTTTGTGGTTGTCCTAGAATTATGAAATCGTTGAATATCTAATCTTTAACCCTCTCTATTAAAATAACGCCTTGAATAAAGAAGGCTTGATAAAATAAATAATGCTATAATTGGACCGGAGTGTCACGTTCCGACACGATATATGGTATCGGAGTGTCACGTTCCGACACAATAACATTAAAGGAAAGGATTCTTGAAGTAACTAAATATACTTAATCTCAAAGAACCTGTTTCCAAATGAGTATGGTATGGAGGCATGAGTCGTCATAGGTGTGCTTGATGTTGTGATTGATGGTGTACCTATTATGTTGTTGTTGTCAATGGTTCATGTGTTTATTTCTTGCAACCTCTTTAGTATTGTAGTTGATTTATATTATTATTCAATGTATATTGGTTTCTATTTTGAGTTGGCCAATTATACCTACTCAGTACGTGTTCCTTGTACTGACCCGTACTTGTATTTTCTTCTTTGTTCTTTTGTGGAGTGCAACAAGTGTACCATCGACTTTGACTCGCCCTAAGCTCTAGTCAGTCTCCAGCACATCAGAGTTCATGGTGAGCTATTATTTCTAGCTCGTGTTGGATTCTCTCATTCACGTCTTGATGTCTTTGAATTTCAGAGATAGACACTCCTGGTATATTTCCACTCCACTGCAGACCTTCCTGGTATGCCACCGGATAGGGATATTGATTTTTGTATTGATCTGGAGCCGGGAACTCGCCCCATTTCTATTCCTTCTTATAGAATGGCTCCAGCTGAATTAAGGGAGTTAAAGGTCCAAGTTTAGGAGTTGTTAGGTAATGGTTTTATTAGACCGAGTGAATCCCTTTGGGGTGCTCCTGTTTAATTTGTGAGGAACAAAGATGGAAGTTTTCGGATGTGCATAGACTACATGAAGCTGAATAAGGTAACTATTAAGAACAAGTATTCCATTCCTCGCATTGATGATTTGTTCGATCAGTTACAAGGTGCTTGTGTCTTCTCTAAAATTGATTTGAGATCTGGTTATAATCAATTGAAAATATTGGCAACAGATGTGCCAAAGACGTATTTTTGAACCAGGTATGAGCATTATGAATTCTTATTAATGTCTTTTGGGCTTACGAATGCCCCTGCTGCTTTCATGAGCCTGATAAACGGATTTTTTAAGCCATAACTAGACCTCTTTGTATTTATATTCATTGAAGATATACTGATATACTCAAAGAACAGGAATAACATGAGGATCATTTGAGAATTGTATTGGAGTTTTTAAGGGAGAAAATGCTTTATGCCAAATTCTCCAAATGTTAGTTTTGACTCGATTCAGTGTCCCTTCTTGGGCCACGTGGTTTCTAAGGGTGGATGTAGTGGATCCTTCTAAGATTGAAGCAGTGAAGAGTTGGGTAAGACCTACTAATGTTGCAGAGGTAAGGAGCTTTGTTGGTTTATCTAGCTACTACCAACGATTCGTCAAGGGATTTTCTTCTATTGATTCCCAGCTGACAAATTTGACTAAGCAGAATGTTCCATTTGTATGGTCGGACCAATGTGAAGAAAGCTTCCTGAAACTCAAGACCTTGTTGACTACTGCACCAATTCTTACCTTGCTAGTGGAAGATAAGAATTTTATTGTTTATTGTGACGCATCTTATTCTTGTTTGGGTGCAGTGCTAATGCATAGGAGGAATTTAATTGCTTATGCTTCGAGATAATAAAGAGCGCATGAACGTAACTTTCCGACCCATGATTTGGAGTTGGCTGCAGTTGTATTTTCACTAAACCAATGGAGACATTATCTATATGGGGTCAAGCATGAAGTTTATACAGATCATCGTAGATTACAGTATATATTTAATCAGAAAGATTTGATTTGAGGAAGAGGAGGTGGATGGAACTATTAAAAGACTATGATATTACTATTTTGTATCACCCATGAAAAGCTATTGTTGTGGCAGATGCTTTCTGTAGAAAAGCAGGGAGCATGGGTAGTTTAGCCCACTTACAGGTTTCTAGACGACCATTGCCTAGAGAGGTTCAGATTCTGGCTAATGACTTTATGAGGTTGGAAGTACTGGAGAAAGTAGGATTTTTGGCCTGTGTGGATGCAAAATCTTCTTTTCTTGACAATATTAAGGGGAATCAGTTTGCTGATGAGAAGTTGAGCCGAATTCGAGATATGGTATTGCGAGGAGAGGCTAAAGAGGCAATAATTGATGAAGAAGTCGTCTTGAGGATTAAGGGAAGAGTATGTGTGCCCCGTGTAGATGATTTGATTCACATTATTTTTACAAGAGGCTCATGTTTCGAGGAATTCTATACATCCTGGTGCAACCAAGATATATCGTGATTTAAGGCAACATTATTAATGGAGTATAATGAAGTGTGACATTGTTGATTTTGTTGCCCAATGTTGGAATTGTCAGCAAGTAAAGTATGAACATCACAGGCCTGGAGGTAGACTTCAGAGAATGCCCATTCCTAAATGGAAGTGGAAAAGAATTGCAATAGATTTCGTAGTTGGTCTTCCAAAGACATAGGGTAAGATTGATTCTATTTGAGTAATTGTTGACAGGTTAACTAAGTCTGCTCACTTCATTCCGGTTAAGATGACTTAAAATTTAGAGAAGTTAGACAAACTCTATGTCTGTGAGATTGTTTGATTGCATGGAGTTCCACTTTCCATCATATCAGATAGTGGTACATAATTTACTTCTAAGTTATGGAGGTCATTACATGCTGACTTAGGTACTAGAGTTGATCTTAGTACTGCATTTCACCCTCAGACCGATGGTCAGTGTGAGCGAACGGTTCAGGTGTAGGAGGATACGCTTCCTGCATGTGTGATAGAATTTGGTGGTCATTGGGATAAATTTTTACACTTAGCAGACTTTTCGTACAATAATAGTTATCATTGGAGTATTTATATGGCCCCATTTGAGGCATTGTATGGGAGGAGATGTAGGTCTCCATTGGTTGGTTTAATGCATTTGAGGTGAGACCTTGGGGTACAGTTCTTTTGAGGGAATCATTAGAGAAAGTGAAATTCATTCAAGAGAAGCTTTTGGCAGCTCAGAGCAGGCAGAAGGAGTATGCAGATCGAAAGGTTAGGGACTTGGAATTTATGGAGGGTGAGCATGTCTTGCTGAAGGTTTCACCCATGAAAGGTATAATGTGGTTTGGTAAGCGAGGTAAGCTTAGTCAGAGATATATTGGTCCATTTGAAGTTCTAAAGTGTGTGGGAGAGGTGTCTTATGAATTGGCCTAGCCTCCAGGGTTGTCAATAGTGCACCCGGTATTTCATGTGTCCATGCTAAAGAAATACCATGAATATAGAAACTACATTATTCATTGTGATTCAGTTCTACTTGATGAGAATCTGTCTTATGAGGAGGAGCCTTTACCCATTCTTGATAGAGAGGTCCGTAAGTTGAAATCAAAGGATATTGCATCTATCAAGGTTCAATGGAAGAATCGGCCAGTTGATGAGTCCACTTGGGAGAGTGAGACTGATATGCATGAAAGATACCCACACCTTTTCACAGATTTAGGTACCTCGCCTTCACCTCACCTTTGTTTTTTTGATCGTTCGAGGACGAACGATGGGTAAATTGGTATCTACTGCAACGACCCATTTTGGTCGTTTTGAGTGTAAACCCTTGTATTTCATAAAAAAAAATATTGATGCATTCTAATTGGATTTTGGACTATTCATAATTATAATTATGAAATTAGCGGGTAGTTTTAATAATTTATTTAGTTGGTAGTTAAAGAAGATAACTTTAAAACTAATAGTGGATATGTTTTAGCATATTTAAGATTAATTATATAATAAGTAGGGTTAATATTATTTGATTACATGAAAAACCGCTCACAACTCTTATTATTGAATTCTTGGTGCCGTCGACGGGACAATCAGAAAAAGGCTAGAGGTAAAAAACGTCAACTAGCATTATACTTTATTGGTTAAAATTAGGCGGTTGAGGGGTATTAATTCTTGATAGTAATAGTGAACTATAATTATATAAATAGACATATATTTTAATAATATCATAACATTATAGTTGGTTATGAATGTATAATAATGAATGGATGAGGATATTGTTATGATATGTTAATTGAAAAGCAAGTGTCAATCAATTATAGAGTTTTACAGTGTGATGATGGCAAAAAATATATACATATCTTTATATATGTAATGTACGAGATGTATAGTTATTAGAAGTGTTGCTGAACAAATATAAACTTTAATGATTATTAAATAGAATAAATATGAAGTACGATTAATAATTGGCCAATTATCTGGTGATGGATGATAAATTTAGAAATTTTGTATAATGATAAAATTGGGTTAGCCGTGTTGCCACTGGTGTTCAAAAACAGTGGCTTGATCTGGAATTTTACGACGTCTATCCTATTATAAATTGATTTTAATATATCAATATAGGTAATTATATATTACATGTATCGAATTTTTTAAATGTCATTAAAGTTATGTTAATTGAGGGAATTCAAATCTACCCTTAGATTTGAACTTTAGGAAATTGATTATATAATTATGTGTTTTTTTGGGTCTAGATTTAACACAAAATAAATAGTGTTTATAGACTCGCTAACTTACAAGTTATGCATATATACTTGATAGATTGGAGATGTTTGGAGGCGTTAAGGAATGGAAAGACATTGGAGAAATAGTTTGCTTGACTTCGGTTCTTCGGTGGAGGTAGGTTATGGTTTATTTCTATGTGATAGATAAACTCTAAATAGTGATTGATTATCTATTGAGTGATATTGTAAAGTCTCCTATGTACTTGATTGTGTGGTTTGTGGTTGGCCTAGAATTATGAAATTGTTGAATTTCTAATCTTGAACCCTCTCTATTAAAATGACGCCTTGAATAAAAAAGGCATGGTGAAATAAATAATGAGATAATTGGATCAGAGTGTCACGTTTCAACACGTTATTATGAGATCGGAGTGTCACATTCTGACACGATATATGGGATCGGAGTGTCACGTTCTGACACAATAACATTAAAGAGAAGGAGTCTTGAAGTAACTAGATATACTTAATCTCAAAGAACCTTTTTCCAATTGAGTATGGTGTTGAGGCATGAGTCCTTATAGGTTTTCTTGATGTTTTTATTGATGGTGTAGCTATTATGTTGTTGTTTTTAATGGTTCATGTGGTTGTTTCTTGCCCCCTGTTAGGTATTGTAGTTGATTTTATATTATTATTCAATGTATATTGGTTTCTATTTTGAGTTGGCTGATGATACCTACTCAGTACGTGTTCCTTGTACTGACCCCTACTTGTATTTTCTTCTTTCTTCTTTTGTGGAGTGAAGCAAGTGTACCATCGACTTCGACTCGCCCTTATCTCTAGTCAGTCTCCAGCACATAAGAGTTCAGGGTGAGCTATTATTTCTAGCTCGTGCTGGATTCTCTCATTCACGTCTTGATGTCTTTGAATTTCAGACATGGACCATCTTTTTACTTATTTTGGTTTCTTAAATACTCTTAGACTTGCTAATTTGAGGATAGATGTTCCTGATGTGATGACTTCAAGATTTTGGGGATAATAAGTGTTAAATTTTAGAAGCTTATTTAATTGGTTAAATTAATAAGTTTTGGATCTTCCACATTATTTTTGTTATTCATATTTGAACTATTGGTAAATGTTGGGGTTTAAATTTGTTGGTTCGCCCACCTAATAGGTTCAGTGTGGGTTCCACTCACGACTCGTTTTGGGTCGTGACATGTATGATAGTTGATATATCAATTATTCTTTTATCGGCATAAAAACTTGGTATTTCTATCTTTGGTATTTCATTCTGATGTCCAATATCTTCTGGTATGATCATATGTTTTGTTAATCCTATCTTAATAACTTGAATTGGAGATTTTACCTCCTCATATAATATTTCTGATGGTGCTCTATAAAACGTAATATAAACTAAGTTTCCTTTCGTAAGTCTTTTACATGTTATAAATGTTTTGTATAACTCTAGTATTCCACTGATTTCTTCTCCGTCATATGTATATACTATACTTAGTAATCCATTACTGTAACATGTCTTAACTAGATTAGCACTTGTTTTTGATTGTGCTATAAGTCTATTGTATCCTTGTAATTTTTGAGTTATATAGTCTTGACTTTGATCTTTAGTTTTGTTAGATCAAGGGTTGAGATTTAAATAAGTTTGGATTCTATATATATTTTCAATGTAGGTTTGTGTAATATAATTGTATTTTTTTTTACTTTGGTTTTGTATACTCACTGCATAGGTAGAAGTTTGTGGTTCTATGGGTATTTCGTTTGGTGTATTTTGAATAAATGGTTTCGCAAATAACTTGTTTAAATTTGTATTTCGTGGTTTTTCACTAACTTTTCTGCTTGTACCTGCAGCTGTATTTAAATAAACATTATGAGTTTTAGGGAGTTTCTCATCGTCTACTTTTATCTCTGGAATTTTACCGTCTTCCGATCGACGTAGCTCTGCATTTTTATAGTTATGCTGCTGATTTATACAAGCTTTAGACTTCAGGTTAACTTCATTAGTTTTTAGCTTTTGTATCTCATTATCCATACTATCCACATTAGTACAGAGTGTAGTAATGACTTTTAGTAGCTTTTAAATTGTATCTTCATCTTTGTTCTCAGTCTGAGTAGCTTTGTTTTGATAAGTAGTCTGCAACACCATTCTTATTAGTCTTTATCACTTCAATTGTAAATGTAAAGTGTAATATATTTAATACCAATCTTCTTATTTCTTTCGTTGTTACTGAATCTTGTATTTTTCTTGTTAACCACCATTTTACTTGTGTATTATCTTTTCATACAATAAATTTGTTATATACAATATATGGCTCAAATTCTAATAAACATTTATATACTGAAAAATAATTCTTTTCTATTTATTTCCCATTTTATTTCCGTATTTGTATATGTGCATGAATAATATCTATAGTGATATTCAATATTATTATCATTATTTTTATATTTTAATACTCCTCCATAACTTTTTTTACTTGCATCAGTTTCTACTATATAAAAAAAAATTATCTTCATCCGGAAAAAATAATTTTGGTAATATTTTACATAATAATTTTATCTTTTGTATTTGTGTTTGATCTCTATTATCAAAATGATATTCTACATCTTTCTTTAGTTTTTGTTGTAATGGTTTTAAATTTTCTGCTAATTTTGGCATATATTCTCTTACTTGGTTAACTAATCCTAAAAAGGATTGTAATTTCTTTTTTGTATCTAATTGTTCATTCGAGGTTATTATTTTTTGTACTATATGCGTTTGCATTTTTATTCCATTTTTATCTATTTTTATTCCAAGGAATTCTATTTGTTTTTTCATTATTTTTGCTTTGTTTTTACATAAACTTATTCCTGAGTGTTGTATTATACGTATAAACTTTTTTAATAATAATATGTGTTCATCTTGTGTTTTAGAATATAATAATATATCATCAATATACACTACACAATTTTCTAGTTGTTTAAAATAGTTATCCATAAAATGTTGAAATCTACCGGGTGCATTTTTATATTCAAATGGTAATACATTCCATTCATAAAATCCTTGTAGTGCTGTGAATGTTGTATGTTTTTTAGATTCTTCCTCAAACTTTAAATGACAAAATCTTGATGTACAATCAAATTTACTAAAGTAATTATATCCTTGTATTTGTCTTATCTTTAATATTTTTTTTGGTATTGGATAATTATATGTTTTAGTTTTTGCATTTAAATTTCTATAATAAATTATCATTGTACTTTTTTCTCTTTTTTGTTCACTATATTTATTAACAATAAATGCCGGACTTATATGTTTGCTATTACTTTCCTGTATATATCTATTTTTTAGTAATTCACTTATATGTATTTTAAATTCATTTAAATCATTAAAATTAAATTTTAATGGTTTTTGTGTTATTATAATTTTTTCATCAATTAGTTCAATTTTAACTTCTGTCTTACGTTTTTCCCATCCTTGTAAAGGATCTTCGTCATATAATAATTCTAATTTTTCTTGGATTATGTTTACTTTATCAAAGGAAAATATAATTAATTCTATTCTAGGATCTTCTTCTTTTATATTTTCTAATTTTTGTGTAATTTTTTCACTACCTTAAATCCATTCTGTTGATTTTCTTCTTTTGTTACCTACTCTTCTTGATTCTATATTTTGTTTACATGGTGTTGTGAACCACCAGTGTGTTTTTGTTATTATATGTGGATATAATTTTTCTAAAAATGACATTCCTAATAACACATCCTTTGTTTTTAATTCAAAATTATATATTTCGTCAAAAGTTAATATTTAATCCCATATTCGTATTTTTATATTTTTTGCCTTTTATATGATTATACTTCCTTCATTTTTAAATACTGTTACTATTATTGGTGTTTTTGACTTTTCTCATTTTTCTTCTGGTAAACAATTGTATTTACATATATTATCCTCTGCTCCTATATTTATCATTGGTGTATAATATCTGTTATAATATCCTTCTATTATTATCTTCGTGAGTATATATATTTTCATATATTTTTTTATATTAAAGTCCTTTTTATTATGACTTTTTTATTTTGATAATTTATCTTTAGTTGTTTATCCTCTATATCATATGGTTTTACTTGTTCTAGACCTTTTATTCCTAATGTTATATTTTCATTTCCTTGATATATTTTAAATTTTATTATCATTGGTATACCTCCAATTATTATTTCTTGTTCCGTTGTATCTTCATTATTTATTAATACTTTTGGTAATTCTGAACATGTGTGTTACATAGTTATTATTTTATCTTCCATTACTAACTCTCTTCTAATATAGCTTTCTTCTTGTCGGGTATTTATTAGTATTAAATATTTTCTTTCCTCCATTATTCCTGTTATATAATAATGATGTCGTTTTATTTCTTATTCTATTAATTTTTGTTAAATTATATTTATTCTTTTGAAACTATTTGAAGTACTCATTTTTTTATGATGTTTGTCGTATATCATTATTATTTATTCTTTTTGATGTGCTTAGTCTTTCTTCTACTCTCTCTAAATCTCCTTCATATCAATTTCATTATAACTATAGTCATTATTATCTATAAGCGTAACTATTTTTTCTAAGGAGTTTTCTATTTTTATTTTATTTTATTTTATTTTTTGCTGTTATTTTATGTTTTGTTGTTAAAACATATAAATTCTTACATCTGGCTGTAAATATTTTACTTCCAGGTAGTAGTTCTATTCCTGAAATTTTCCAATATAATACTAATGATTTATCTATATTTCTGTCATTAATTGCTACTAAGTAATTAACACTTATTATAAATTAAAATTTTTGGTATATTAAATTACCTTTTACTGCACTAATTATATTTTTTTCTATAGGTTGTATAATTCTATCAGCTGCTAAATATATTTCTATAGATGTATCTATTACTTCTCTAAAAAATGCTTTTATTAATATTTCAGTTCCTCCTAAATGTACATATTTAATTAGGTTTTATGCATTTATTTCTTGTATTTCTTTATTAATTATTCTCTTATTTATTATTGGTATTTTAGTTTTTCCTCTGGTATACTTACAATCTAGGATATGTTCTCTTTGGCTTACTATATAATATTCTTCTTTTTGTCTTTTAAACCAATTTTTTATTTTTGGTACTTCTAATATTTTTTCTACACTTAGATCTAATTCTTTTCCTTTTATTTGTTCAAATATACTATTATCAAATATTATTTTTTGTTGTAAAGTTTCTTCATCTTGACATTCTTCTTTATTTATTATTTGTATATCTGCTTCAGTCATTTATATTATAAAATTCATTATCTGATTCTAATTCTAAGTCATTATCTATTTCATTTTCTGGTATTTCATATATACTATCTTCACTTTCTAAATCATAATCGACATATTCTATTTGTGTATATTTTTCATTTTCCATAATTATTTCTGATATCTGTTTCCTCTTTTGATTTTTAGGTAATTTACAATCTTTACCTATATGTCCTAATTTTCCACAAGTATAGCAAGTACATTGTGTCAATTTTCATTTTGGTCTAAATGGTTTTTTAGTTTTGTAATTTTTTACATAATATCTCGTTCTTGGTTTTTTTTATTTATATGTTGATCTATATTTTTTATAATTTTTATTTCAATTATACTTCTTTTTTATAATATCTATCAATGCAACAAAATTGAAGAACTTTTTTATTTTTGCAACATGCTAATTTTTTTACTAATACTTTTTCCATTTTTACATCTTCTTTATGTTTTTCACATAGTTCTGTAAGTCATCGTGGTAAGAATTTCATTCTTGCTTCTAAAGTATCTGTTAATTCTACTTCATTCAAAATTTTTATTATTTTTGAATTAAAAGGTTCTAGTAATGTTGTAAAATATAATTTTCTTATTTCCTTACTTTCTTCTATGTTATATGTTCATTTATAATAATATTCTCTAAATGCACATGTATATTAATCTATATAACACATATTACATATTTCAAAATTTGCAATTAAATTTCTTCTTATAACTTTTTTTTGTTTTGTTCCATCTCTGGAATTTTACCGTCTTCCGATCGACGTAGCTCCACATTTTTATAGTCATGCTGCTGATTTACATTAGCTTTAGACTTTAGGTTATCTTCACTATTTTATATGTACAAATACAAATAAATAATGTAGAATATAAACTACAAAATAATTTATAAATGAATAAGGAAAAATATGCAATAGAAAAAAAAAATATTTGAAAACTATGAAGGATTAAAAATAAGGATAATATTTTCTAATCTAGGAAGAATATATAAGAAAATAGGTGACAATTTAAGTTTAATGTCAGAAAAAGAAAAGGTAAATTTAGAAGATAGTTTAACTACTATGGTGAGGATAGCAAAAGAAAATGAAGAAATTGATAGGGATATGGAAATTGAAAAAAAAAACATGAAGCGAAGAAAGAAGTACGACAAATAGAAGAAGTAAAAAATAAACAAATTTTAGAATTAGAAAAAGAATTAGCAATTTTGAAAAAAATGTATGAAATAAAAAAAACACAAAGAACATAAAAAGAAACTTAGCAAATGAGATAATCAAATTTAAAGAATGATTGCAATTATAAGATAAATCAGAAGACAGTAATCAAGATAATCTAACTAACCTGTCAGAAGTAAGAATTGATGATATCAACCATGATTTAGAAGAACAACACTCAGAGTTAAGTGAAACATATATTGAACTTTTACACAATATAGATAATACAAAAAATGTAAAAATAAATACTGGAGAGTGCTAATTGACTCATGTAATGCATGTTGAGCTTATGTGTGTTGTGATAAGCAAATGCCTCATAATAAAGTGTTTGAGCCTTATATGTGATAATTGAAGTTTTGAAGTTTCCTTGTTGAAATCATATGTTTTATGTTTTTTTGATATTGTTGATTTTTTGGGCTGCTAGTCTTAGTCTATTCCTTCATTTAAAATAATTTTAGTGTCATTCAGGGATGAATGTTCCTATGGGGGATAATGTAACATTTCAAAAATCCAAGTCGAGTCTTAAAGTTTAACATGGGTGACATGGGTTGTAAACACTGTTTTAAGACTTATTTTAATGAATATAGGTCATATAGGAAGTTTATGAACCAAAACGTCCAAGAACGTTCATTACGTTAGAAAACTAGTTCTAAGGGGTACTAGCGTGCCTTAGCTTATTTGATAAGCTTTAGAAGTTGGAAATTCATTAAATAAGGTGGAATGGTGTATAACATGTGTTTAATATAATTCATGGTCGAAAATTCTGGGTACGACTCCCCAAGGACCAACTAAGGTCCCTTTAGGAGAATCTTCGCACATTGCTGTCAACACTACCTTGGCACTGTGTAACCACGAGACACAGTCAACGATCCATGTGTGGATCGACGTGGCGTCATTGCCAACCATCGAACAACACTTAGAATTTTTGTTTAAGAACCCCAATTCCGT